CCCAACCTTTAGCCGAGATTAGTGGAGATATCGCGGTCGTTATCGCCGAAAATACACAGGGATGAAGTTTTTCCTGCACGTTCACCGACTTCTCTTCGCCAGCTGGTCGAGTACTCGTTGCCGCGCGTGCTTCTTCTTCCTATGCTCCGCTTGCATCTGCCGCGGACGTTCTACATTTTCAGGGACTCGGGGCCGGACTCAGCAGTCTCGTGCGATTTCGTCCTTCCGATTTAAATATCCCTTTTTATTTAAAAATAACCTATTCGATACAGCACACTTTGAAAATATATCAACATGTTAAAACATAACGTGCGACATTTAGTCGCTGATCGTCGATATTCAGTCGTCGACGTAATTACATTATCGTTATAAAATTACTATTTTCTGTATCGTATCGTGATATACATATATATACGTCGTAGTGCAATTGAACGAGTCGAACACCGCAAGGTGACGCGATGCTACAATTAGATCGCGATAGATAACGATTATTTTTAGTTTTCTAATGCTTTCGATTCGACGCGCACACAGCTCGCGCTTCGAATCTACGCTCCTTACTTTCTAATAACGTGTATTTCCTATTTACACAGACAGGATCCAACGGTCATTCTCACAACCCAATCTTTCCCAACAACATATATTCGGCAAAATTCTTACTTCATTCTACGTACGCGTAACGCCGCGAGTTCGCGCCTTACGAGACGTACTCGTATTTTCCATTCCTTTCGCCGATCTTAGGAGGTTACAACGGAGGTCGTACGAAGGGTACAAGTACGTCTTTTCGACGAATCCAACGATTCGTTTAACGCGTCTTTCGCGTCCATTCCATCGGTCGTTGTTCGAACAGCGAGCACGCACCGACGAGAGAACAGCCGGAACGAAAAGAAACGACGAAAGACGTTTCCTTTTTGGTTTTCGTTTCCTCTCGTTCTTCTCTTCTCGTCCCGCGAACCTCGATGAACGTTCGTCTCTCGTTGCCCGATCGTCGAGCAAACGTTCCTCCTTCTTCGCACCTCCTTCGAAATCACGACACGTCCTCGTCGGCCTCCTACGGCTACGTTGGAGATTCGTCGGCGTCGAACGTCGACGGATGAACGGACTTTACGACGATATCGAGACGACGGTAGGTCTGTCCAGGTGACCGTTGTCCAGGATAATTTTAGTGGCCGCCGTGTTGGGCGACGAATTGCCAAGCGTTACGATATGCGGGGAAGCGAGTTGATGATGATCGGGTGAATGACTCGCGGATAACATGACCGGCGATCGATTCGCGCAAGGAGGCGACGGGCACTCGACTTTCGGCGAGTGCGTTTCGAGTAGTTGCTGGTGTTGATGCTGATGTTGATGCTGCTGTTGCTGCTGTTGCGGCTGTTGTTGCTGCGAGGCGATCATGTCGTAATACATCTCCGACTGGTAGGAGACGATTCGGCTGGTTGACTGCGGACTGCCGTACAGATTGCTGCCGTAGCTCACCTGAGGCACTGCGGTATGGTTCATCCTCAATTCTCCGTACGTACCTGCGCAAACGTTGCAACGTGGTAAACGAAATCTGCGAATAACGCGGCGTGGTTAACAACGACGCCAACGAGATACACTTACCTGGCTCCAATTTGACGTTGTTGTTGTTATTGTTGTTGTTGTTGTTGTTGTTGTTGTTGCTGCTGCTGTTGCTGCTGCTGGCGGTGGTGATGCTGGTGTTTCCGTTGTGACGAGCAGAGGTGCCGTGGCTCGCGGAAACGCACTCTATCGTGGTAGACGTTCCCGAGCGCGTGGACTCGACTCGCGGTGCCATCATTCGAAGTCCTCGTCCGACTGGCATGGGCACGATGTCACCGGGCCCAGGGACGAAACCGCGCGTATCTCTGTTAACAACAAAAATACACTCAAGCGTCGAAACGGAGGTGGAGGATCGTCGATCCGAGCTACGAAACGTACGCTGGTAGCCACCGGGCGGGAGGGGGGAGAGTCTGGTGCAATTCGAGTTCGCTAGTGCGACTCTCTGGAGCCGAATCTACGCTGCTCTTTCGTGGTCCAAGGTGAAACAGCGTCGATTCGGCTTTAGCCTCGTATTTGATAGGCGTGTATTTAATAACAGAATCTTCGACCAGGTATAGTCGTAACGTTCGGATCGAGTTCAACGATAACGAATCGTTCGACGGTCGTCGATAAACGTGTGGTATAAAAATCCGTATATCCGATAACGTACCCCTCGAGAACCACCTCACCGTTGCCTGTACAGGACGCTACGGTGCCGGCGATCGCCGTCGCATCGGTCGATTTCATCTTCGGCTTCCTCTTCCTGGTTTGAATGCTGTCCTTTTTCATAGCGTGAGGCCTGTTCACGCCGTGCAATTTGAAATAGAGCCCGCATGCGTTGCAAACGGGCTCACCTAACGTGTTCCTGCGCCATAACGACGTCATCGTCGTTTGGCAATTGCTGCACGACGTGCCCACTCGTCTCGAAGCGGACTGCGGACACACGAAATCTCGTTAAAACGCGTGCTAACTAAGCAGCAACTTGCGCGCACGACTCGGGCGCGAAGAGAGAAAAACTTGAAAGAGAAGGGGCGAGAGAGGAGGAACGCGGGGCAGGGAGGTTGCGACGAGATATCGCCAAGAGCCTCTTCTCTTTCGTCCAAGTAGAAGAACGAGCGAGCGAGCGGACAGACACTTATAAAAGAAGAAGCGAGACGGAGAAGGAGGGGAAAGCAAGGTGTGGATCGGGTTGAAAGAGATCTTACATCTACCGCCGTTTAACTTATGATCGATCAAGCCCGAACGCTGACTCGTGCGCGGCGATCGCCAACCGT